ATTCTTTCAGAAGTGTTAAAATCTACGTACTGAGAAATCTGTGAATTTATATACAAAGTTACAATAAAATTATCAAAAACACACAAACTTCGATTATTCTGTCTAATATTGTTATATATCTCTCAATAATGATTGTAGTGTTCTTCTATTGTTAACGATTTTGAACCAATGATATTTAACATACTTTTTTTAATGCAGTTTAATATACAGAATCTCAAAAATTTCTTAAAATTTTTTGTCACAATATCCATCTCGATCTTTCTGAATAATCGCTTGATTAAATTCTGAATTCGTGGCTTTCTCGTGACTTTCAAATTAATTCGTCTTTTCATCATAAATTTCTCCTTTGTATACGGATTGGTTTCGACGCCCATGATTCGGAATACGTCATCTGCATGAGGGTGTTCCAAGGCATCCAAAGCAAAAGAGAAGGGCGGGCGACGATCGGAGCCGGGGCGAAAGTGGAGATGAACAGCCAAAGACGATAGGGACCGTGAAGACGCGTCTCGTCCTAATAGCTACTAACGATTTAATTGTTGGAACCGGCTGTCTACATCAAGAATGGGACTTGGGCGTTCTACGCCTTCTTGATTTTTAATTATTTACGCCGCGCGTTTCTGCCTTCAGGGACACGAACCGCGTGCAACAAGAAGAACGCAAAAAGAAGAGTCTGCATCACTGATTCATCCATACGCCAATTCATCCAACTCTTAAGTTTTAACTGATAAAATAACCACATTTTTTGTGCTGTATTTTTTCAACTGTTATGAGAAATCTATAGAAATGGAAAGTAAAGATTGCGATTATTACCGATTGTCACATTGAGAAGTCGAGAAGAGAGACAAAAAAAGAGTAGCCGTATATATTTTTAACGTAGATTTTCGAAATGGCCTAAAGTAAAAAATTTCAAAACGCATTAGTTTCGCGACGTCTATACGACAGCGCAAGAAATATTATCGCATCTAAGAGCATATCGAGCGGTTTTTCGTTCTCTCCTCGTGCGCCCTTTCCTCTCGCTCGAAAATTTTTCATTGCCACTATCGGCCTTCCGCACGCCAGTTTATTACGCGGCGTATAACGAAGCGATACTTCATATCGATGCAAAGAGCACGCACCCGTGGCCAGTCGCCGTGGATACGCACTTTTGCTCAGGCAGATTACAAATTACAATATACCGGGGGTTGCACCCCGCCTGCGGCTGCCGCCGCCGCCGCCGTCGCTGTCGTCGTCGTCGTCGTTGGCAAATAATTAATATTCATTACGTATTAACGAAGCTATCGCATAAATTGTGCGCTCGTGGCAAAAATGGCATCGTGGATAACGGGTGAGCCGATGAATACGGAGAACTTTACGGTTCCTTGTTCCTCCGTAAGATGTAGCAAGATGCTCCTTTCGCTTCATGATGCTGCGTAGCTGACCCTCGGGAGAGATGATCGCTCCAGGACAGAAGGGAAGAGAGGCGGCAGACGGGGGGGGGGAGAATATTGCCGGCGCACCTGTCCGCGTTGCCTTCCGGCCGTCTCTCCCTTTTTCCGCGTTGCCCGCGGCACACGCACCGGGCTATTTCATTTTTGATGCCATAAAGAGCCATTTTAGCGCCGCGTTTAAGGGTTATTGTACAATAAAAGTGGCATTATTATATATCAGTTAGTCCGGCTAACAGTAAGGTCGCGAGTCGGCTGAGCAGGGAGGGAAAGAATGGGAAGAAGAGGGTCGTCGACGTAGCCGTCGGAAGCGGGCCGTCGAGAAGCACGACTGCCTTTATGACTCGTAAAAGCTCGAGACGTCGCTCGCTCCGTCGGCAGACGACACGCGTTCTTACCTCCCGCGCCTCCGCGTCGGAGCTCGCGCGCGATGAAGCTAAACGGTAATTTTTGTTTCGACTCGATCCGTTTATTTTCGAATGGTTGTGCATGCGAGGGGGTGAAACGGCGCACACTGGGGCAACTCCTCACGAGGTCGTTTCTTCGGTTTACGACGTGTCCCGTCGCCCGTCTAGTTCCTGTCGCGATTCCTCATAATACTACGCGCGAGTGAATTATTGTACATTAAAATGTGTCCTAAGAATATATGTATATGTATTATTTAGAGTAATGGTTATATTAAAAAAATGAACTTTGCCAATATACTGTTTAATACTTCTGATACTTTTACGTTTTCACGTATCGGCCAGAGTTAACTCGTTTTGGAGAAAGAAATACTTGTGTGGCGCGAACGCTGATCTTAAGCTATTCGACAGTGATAGATCGATTTGTTTCCTGAAGTCGTTACTTTATTTCCACGGTAATAATTCACTTATCCGGTAACTCGTCGGCGTCTCACTTTCCCTGGCATCGTGCAGCCGAAATGGCGACGAGAACGACGTCGATAGAGCTGAGTGTCGCGATAATATAATCGCGAATATATTTCTGTCTCTTTACGTAAGCGTGGAGAAAAAAATCTCGCCAAGGAAAAAAAAGCCGTGCCGCACAAGGACGAGAATAAAAGAAACTGCGTAAAGTATCGCTACCACGCATAATAAAATTGTAAAATCATCAGTGACGGCGTTATTGACGATGCTCTTTTGCAATAAACATAACGGTCTACGTCCGACCGCAATGATACTACCTACCGACTGACATTTTAGTTGACCTCTCACGACATTTCTTCAAGTCGCGAACAGCCTCGCGAGATCGCATGAGTCGAACGCGTCGTGTCGTGTGAAGAATCGTATTACACGATACTCTGATACGCTACAAAGTTTATCTCGTAAAATGTTACTAGCGCAATTTGCAATTTATTTTACTACTTGCAGCGGCAACTATTAACTATCGTAACGAAATAGTTAACGGGCTTTCATGTATATTTTCTTCTATACTGTGTGACTTTTGCCGAGAATCTTTCTGCCGTCTTATCCACATAGATAAATTTGTTGCAAACGGTAACTCTCTTGAAGCATCAGTAAACGGTTTATCATAAAAATCGTAAATTATTGGCATTAAGACTGGACGACATAGAACACATTATATTTTTCCCAAGCAAGCGCGTTGGTTCGCCACAACTGTAGTCTTTCTATTGCGTGCGGTAACATTGTCAAGACGGTCTCAAGGCGGTGTCTTCGCATTGGCGGAAGGGCTGTTTGCGATCCGAATGCGCGATACGTCGGCGATAACGTTTGTGTACCGTAGCCGGTAGCCAGGTCTGGCGCGAGCAAACTTCCTTCCAGGTTGTACCTACCGGAAATTCATTGTAAATCTCGGTAGTCAGCAAAGAGCGAGGACGCCACGGGTCGTTTCGCCCGCGCGTCGCGCGACGCGCGCGGCTCCCGTGCGGTTTCCGCGCGCTTACGGTGCCGCGATAAGACCCGGCCCGGATTCCCGGACGGTCAAATATTGAAGTTGGCCCCGATTTTCCCATGCCACCCGTGGCAACCGCGCCCCGAAGGTGCCATCAACGCGATCAGGAAACCGACTTGGCATACCTGAATTAATCGTCGTAAATCCTGCGCGACGTCGTCGTTTGCTATAACCGCAAACGGGTTACGAGGGTACTTAACGCGCGATAAATCGTGTAGGATCCGGGGCGGTTGTGAATATCGCGTTCTTCGACAATTTCACTCTTATCGCTTTGAAAAGTCTAACTAATTACAGGCATATATTTATATTGCTGATATTAAGACAAGTCCTATCTCCGTGAAATATCTAACGTAAATAATGAAGATTTCGAACGTCATTTCGCGTAGAATGATCTTCAATTTAACGGAGGAAGGAAATTTTTCTAAATTGACTTCTTGAATCAAATAATCACGGTATCTAAGAACGTTGCAGACTTCCCACATACTTTTGCATTTGCATACTGCGAGACGGTCGGACATACATGGTCGCATGCAAAGTTCTGACGAGAAACAAATACCAAATAGTCGCTAGACATTCGAGAGGTGCGTGCACCTCATTATAAAACGGCACATTATAAAGCGCGGGATGAGATGCTTTGAATTTACGGTAGCGACTGCAGTCGACTAAAGAATAGGGTTCTTTATTTTTTTTTTTTTTAATAATTTCAAGAGTCCATGTGATATCACTATAATGTTGCAACTTATTATTTTACATAATACCTGCTAGGATGTTTGCAATAAATTATATATCAGATAAAAAAAAATGTACAGAACGAGAAGGCTCGCATTAACATTCTGCGATTCTGAATTTAACGTTCGGCAGATTCGCGGCATACACATATATTTTGTATCTGACAAATCCGCGATATTACTACATCGTATACGCAGTTTCACCAAATAAACGCATGCGTCGTACGAACGAGCAACGAAAGTCGCCCGCGAGGCAAAGTGATGAAATAAGAGGCAGCGAGGGCCGCATAAGAATCGTATTCCACGGTCTTCATAAGTCAGCGTAACGATGTCGACCGAATGAGAAAGATACTGGGAGACGGCGTGCGAGGGAAGAGCGAGAAGCGAAATCTTTTCTCCAATGAGACCAAGAAGAGAGACTCCTCCGCAGGCGACCTCGGTTTCCGTTCCTTCTTCGAAGTTCTGAAGCCGCTGGCTGGCGCGTCTCTCGCCTGCAGCCAACTAAACGCGAATACATTTAAATGATAATTGGCGAAGCCTAAGCTGCGATACGATTCCAATGGCGCGCATGCACGAGGA